TTTGCTTGTCAAAAGTCTCAAATGTCTTCCAAATGAAAGTGACCCATTTGCTAGTCTGTATTTCCCCGATCCCAGTCCAGAGATCCTATCTCAGTTGTAACACTTTCCTTGGAGTTGTTTTGAAACATGGAAGTGATCAACCTGATGTTACTTTAGGGGAGGGAAAATGTAGAATGAGTATCTTTTGTCTGATTTGTTATTCCTTAGTCTGAATTTGGAACCCTGCTGGCAGTGGAGTATACCTGTACTGAGCACATCAATACAATTCTGTACAAAACATCAGAAGTTACACTGAGCGAACTGTTTTCTACAACTGATATAATCCTGTATGCCCAGAGGTCCTGATGTAGATATCATTGTGGAAGAACTATTACACTTACATATGACCTACATATGACCTACACAGGATTTTGACTTGGGCTGCAGTTTGTGCGTTACCAAGGGCACTTGATTGTAAATTGTGGAATGATGTATTGAAATGAAAGTTGTTTTTTAACCATAACTTTTGAAGAAGAGAACTTTTGAGTGCGGGAAGATATTTAGAAAATCTTTCAGGTGTTTGTTGGAGTTTGAGAAAGGGAAATTTCTGCTCAACAAATTTTCAAATGTTATGTATTTCATGCCCCATTTCAGATAAGCTTCCAAAACAAGCATGCACGACAGATCCAATTCACTCCTTCAGTAGTGTTTTGCAAGCTAAGTGGTTTTGTCATGCCTCTGTGGTTGCCAAGAATATTTGGTCACAGAGCTGTCAGGTTTCCACTGGGAGATTCAAAAATGCACCAACTCTGTCCTGTATACATACTTCAATCATCTCCCCAATCAACAGGTGTGTAGTTTAAACACACTGCAATTTACACAGGTGTGTAATAATGAGTTTTTAATTTATTTACAGGAGAAAAAAAAGGTGCAAAGGGTTATCTGGGGTTGTGCTTACATAAACCATCACCCCTCAGTGGGCTGATGCTTTTCAGAAATAGGCCATTGACTCCAGAGGATACCTGCAACAGAAGTGGAACAAGTGGTTTCTACTTTACTAGATACATAAAAATGGACTGCTCAACTGGATCTCCATGCTTACCAAGGAGCTTTTAAAATTGAGGGTTAATGTTTTTGTGCCCCCCCATCTCAGTTTTGGAATTGGTAGAACAAGAAAGGAATATCACTGTACAGTGGTCACAGACGGGAGAGTACTGAAGATGAAGAGTGCAGCAGGAAGTGAGAATAGACATCTTACAGATCTAAGGTCCAGAATTGGGCCATAGGGCAGGACAGATTTATCCATGATCAGCAAATCACTTCTTTTTCCAAATGACATTGATAAATCCCCTGTCAAGTGTGATAAATTTAATAAATGACAAAGTGGAGACCATATAAAGAGATTAGAAAGGTGATAATTCTGTCATTAGGGAGATTGTAAACTGTGGTTTGTACAGCACCATGGAGGACCTTGGCATAGATAGGATGTCTTCTAAAGTTATGGCTTCGGCTTGAATTAATTGGCACATTGCTGGCTAGCAGCTACTGTTAATTCCCACATGTGAGTTTGTGTTGAGTCTCAGCCACAGTCAGTTTATTTCAACATGGCCATAGAGAAACTTGTGTGGCAACCTGACCTCATAAGCATGTACATTTAGTAGGACAGGTGACGTCCTCCGGATGCTTCTTCAATTAATTTCAGTGGTTGCCATACACCATGCTTGTTCTTGCCTGCCTGTTACCTGATTGGTCAAGCTTTCAAGTGGGTGCACATGCCTCTTGCAGTTCCCCTATGTGTGCATTTCGATTTGTATTTGGAGTTCATCCCACTTCACAGGCCATTTCTTTTATTTCGGCAAGACCAAAGGGGCAGATTCTAAATCCACCTGTGCTGTAGCACTGCAAGCCTTTGGGTGTGGCAAGCATCAGGAAATTGTTTGCGTATATGTATGCCATTCGCGCACAAGGCATAACTTATAAATTTGTCAACAGTTGTGCATTCACTTTGCCTATGTGGCACTGTGAACTGTTTATGAACAAACCCATCTTCACAGGCTCTGTGACACCGACACCAAAAGGTTGAATTCACCTTGAAAGTGGTCAGGGCTGTTCTGATACATTGGAACCAGTGCAATACTTGTTTTTTTCTGCATTATTGGGATATTTTCTTGGGTTAACTTTTTCAGCCACTAATGCTTTTTCCCTTGGGAAAAGCCTCTCCAAAACCCATGCACTACATCTGAATTCATTGACTCATGATTGCTAGATTAGACCCCTGTGTGATTGATGGAGTTTGTAGAATTCAGGAATGTGAAAAAAATCCATTATTGTGGTCAACATGTTTACTGGTGTAAAACGGGAGTGTTTCCTTTTTGTAAAAATGGAGGGATGTGATGAGAATTAACTTGTAAAGATTAAGAGATTTAAATGTCAGTTTTTCAGTCCATTTAACCCACTCATCAAATTTGATAGTAAATCCCAACCGCAGTTTCAGTATGGCTGAGTACAGAAATCATCCTTTGTTGTACTGACATTCTCAGCCTTCAGTTTCTTGTGGTGGGGAGAGAAATTCTGAGACTCTAAAAATGGCACTTTGTTGACTGAAATCCAGTTTGGTTAATGTATTTTGTGACCTTTATGAAAGATCAAGGAATTAGCTAGGGAAACACTCTCTGTGTTGTCCCTGACATCTTGATTCCTACTGTAGGTGTTGTAAACTCCTGAGAATAAACAGATTGGTTGTAATTGTATGCTCGTTTATGGGTGCCTTTGACAGCAGAGATGTACTGGAAGCAAGATTCAGTCTACTCAGAAGTAGGGGTCGAGGTCGGACAATCATTACTTTATTATGGGTTCTGACACGAATTAAGAAGGGGACTTTTCCTCAAAGTTTGTAAACTTTTTTTGAGTTACCTCCAGCTGTTATTTGGTGATGCATAGATGTGTAACAGCTTGTCCTGTCCTAAGTTATTATCTTTGTTGTTAGTTTTTTGTAATTGGCGGGCAGTAACTTTAGTTAGAAATGCTGTACACATTTTCCTGCAAATTAAATAGTTCTCGTTAGACTTGATGGGAATGTCAGCCACATGTGTACATGTGGTTCCAATTCTTCATCTTACTCCTTTCCATGCTTTGATTGGGTTTCATTGTCTTAGCTGTAGAGTTAGTCATTGACTTGAAGTCTCAGCACTTTTTTTCATTTAGTTGCTCTCTTTTTTAATGAAAGCATGAATTTTGATTGTAGGTTTTGGCACATAGGTTATGATGATAAACAGATTGGTTGCTGTCATGTATGTAGGGTGAACTGAGATGTTGAGCCTTGGCTTTGAATCATTTTGGGAGGAATGAAGTTTCTGGTGGTGATTTCAACAATTTCTGGTTCAGTTTTATCAAGTAGTGAATCATCTCGCCTACTGAACTAGACCACTCACAAATCAGCTGCGTGTGTCGGCCCAGAACTCCAAATATAGATTTACAGCAGGTGCAGAGGATTTTTTTTAGAGAGGGGGTGCTGTGAGTAAGGCACAGTGTACCATACCACTTGCTTGTGCCTTTGCATATCTTCGGGGCTTACCTTGCATGTCACAAGTTAACCCCGCACCAACAGTATCACAGTCCAGCAGCAAATGCACGCCATGGTTGGTAGCATAGAGTGAGTTTGCTGATAACCCAGAAATTGGGCAATAATTTAAAGAGGTTTGGAAAAAATATGGGTCAGAGGATGAATTATAGCACTGTTAGAGGTGTCAACAAAGGTTACACCTGCTTTATTGAAATTTTGTAGGTCGTCAGTACACTAAGCCCATCCAAGGGGCAAAGAAATATTATTTTGTTATTGTATGGGATTTTTGTTGTTTTGGTGGAAGTCACAACTGTCTAATATTGGCATGTTTCAGGAGATTTTATTGCCAATAGAGACTTCAAAACAGGTTTGGATTCCAATCAGTTTCTATCAAATGCAAATTTGCAGAATGTTTTTGTACCCCTTGTCAGAGTTGAGTTATTGAGGCTGCTTTCCAGATTTAATCACATGGTTGATGAAAAGTGAAATGCAAATTTGGGTGGTTTGTTGTCGAAATGAATCTCCGGCTTTAGCTAATGTGATTTCTACGTTAATGTTACTTTGAAACTTAAGTGCAACATAGCAGCAAATTGTACCCGTGTGTGGAAATGACATCATCAAAAGCAAAATCATAAGCACCAATATCTCACCGTCTGCTGGAATTCAGGGCCTCCTCTGCCTGGCAGGACCGTTGAATGGACGTTGTTCTTCCTTTTTTATTCTGATGGTATACTTTTCAGTGAGAAATATTGTTTTTGTAAAGTTATATCAGTCTTTCCGAACGATGTTTTATTATTTGTAGATATAGTAATAAGCCTTGTACACAAGGCTTATTCTATAGCAGGGGTGGTATTTCTCAGCTTCTTAGCTGATTTCAGCTTTTTTTGTTTAGGATTTCAGCTTTTGTTTTCCTCACTGGCTGTGTACAAAAGTAAAGGAGATTTTCACAGTTCAGCTTCTTTATGCCTTTTTTCAGCTGTTATTGAGTTATTTTTATCATTGGTCACCCCTGAGTATGTCAAATCTACTCAAAATTTGATTTCTGATATTTTGATTATTGAAAAATCTGATATGGACAAACTCTAAGTCAGCAGTCAAAGTGCCTACAGCACTATGTACATGTACCTGTAAAAAGGATATTTTATAGACAATTGGGGATATGCATATTTAGGTATGACTGTCATCACATCAATCTGATTCTATTTGTTGCTCAACTGTTGCTGATTTCCAGTTCTTCTGGATGATATTGAAGTGTGCTGACACTTGTTTAGCACCATTTGTGTATGCTGCTTCCCCGCTCTTCGTGTGTTCTCGGTGTGGGAGAAGGGAGAAGGGAACATTTTGCAAGGCTGCTTTGCACAAGCATTTGTCAGAAGCTTTTTCAATTCATGAACTGTCCAAAATTTTCAAATTCACTGTGATTTAACCATGACAACGTCCTTCTCTGTTTGTCGTGCAGATTCCACAAATGATGTGCCGGGGCCGCATAGTTTTCATCATCGAAAGCGTCACCATGGCAACAGGAGGCATTTTCATTCTGAGGATGCCAGAACCGCAAACACATTAGCTGCACAACTCCATCAGATGCACCAACGAATTAGCAAAAGGTAGTGTATCTCAATGGTAGATTCACCGGGACATTTAAAAAGAGAGAAATTCTGGTAATTTAACAAACAGTTAACACTAAGTTTGGCAGAAAATTCAAGAAAGGTTTTTTATATATCTTGGCTTTGGAGAGAAGTCAGACCAATTTATTTTCATTTGCTTGCAGTATTAAACAAGAAGACAACAACAGCAGCAAGGCTATGTCAGATTCAGTAGCAGGTGATTCACATAGAAGAGAGAAACGGTTTATATCCTACACACGCCATGTGGAGTTGATGGTGGTGGCTGATAGTAAAATGTTGAACCATCATGGTGAAAACGTGGAGCATTATCTCCTCACACTAGTCGCCTTGGTAAGTCAGGACCCAAGACTTCACATTTGAACTTCCCTTCACAGTGTAGTGCTTCTGTATCTTGACAAGTGATCATCACTCCTTGTAATTCATGTAATCTTGATTTGAGTCACATAGCCCAAGGCCAGTTGACTAGGAAAATTAAAAGTTGCTTTTAATGGAAGGAAAAATAATTTGTGTTTCACCTTGGAGTTCAAATCCTCTTTCTATCTCAGGGAGACAGTGTCATAGATTTTATATTGAAACTTTTGTTGTCAAAATCTATGCTCAGCTAGGTACTCTTTTGTTTTAGAATGCTAACTTATATTGATTGCCCCCAAAAATGTTTTTAAAAAATGGAAACTTTGACAGTGTCATTGAAAAATAAAGTTCCCATTATGTGCACAATTCCCTGAAGACCAAATCAAGAGAAACAAGTCTGTAACCTAGACTCCCTTGTATCAACCCCTCCAGGCTTCCAATATCCCAATACCTGTAAAATAAATACCGGATCCTGACCATGGCAAAACAAACAGAAGCCCATGTGTACAAACAGAGATTTTGTGCTGCAGCTTGTGGACTGTGTCTACTCTCCTTCCAGTCCACAAAAGATTCCTTGTAATAGCCCGTGTATTTCGAAGCCTGGGTTAGGTGACTGACACCGTAATGCCCTAGGATAAGCTAAGAAACAGGGTGGAATTGATGGAAAGTTGACTTGGCTTGCTGTTTTCCTGCCTTTCATAGCTGTCACCAGGGCAACTTCATACCCACACACTGAACATATAAGTCTTTCCTTCCTTCTGGGTTTGGACTGTGGTTCACTGGGGCACATCCCACTCATGGTATGCATTTTTGGTTTATGCCAGCGTTAGCAGTACTTTCCCTTCGACAGAAAGAATTCGGGTACAAATGTGCTGCCCTGACCAACTTCTTTGACTGAGGTTCATATCTTTACTTTGGTTAGCATGTTGTGTTTCTCGTGTTTTGTTTTTGTTTTTTGCTTTTCCTGACTCTTAATTTAAATTCTTATCAGAAGAAAACTTTAAGATAGATTTACCACACAAGATAGGCCTTTGTTGCTGTCTTTATCTGTGGCATAAGTAGGAGTGTATGTTCTGTAGCAAATGCCTTTGACCTCCCAACTGCAGTAAAATGAGACAATCACAAGGCCAGTGCATCTTTGGGAAAATGGCAGAGGTTTTCACCTGAAAAAAAAAAGTTTGCTGTTCAGTTACAAGCACAAAAGGATCCCTTCAAAGTATAGACCACCATTCTGTTTTACTTCTGCAGTGTCTTCGTGGAAGGAAATTGAGGGAAAAGAAATGGCACTTCACCCACACTGGCTTTGCTGTGTGAAGGGAAACTTTCCAACAGACAATCGGGGCAGATCCAGGATTTGTTTCCGGGAAGGGGGGGGAAGAGGGAATTTTGGACATGTTTGTTCATACAAGGGGTTACCTACATGTAGTTGTTGCCAGTGGTGAGGTCATTCAGTGCCTTCTGTTTTGTACCTTTACTGTGCTTGCAAATTAAGACCCTTAAATGGCTTATGCCTTTATTGGGGTTTGTAGGCCCATAAAGAAACTGGAAAATGAGACCGGGAGCTGCTTCTGACTAGTGCCCAGAACTTGAATGGCAGCAGGTTGATTGACAGTGTGATACTTTGGATTTGGCCAATTGATACTTGTTCAAGAACTTGATACAGCTGATGAGAGAGTGATTGACATCTGTCTTACAAGTGTGGACGTCTCACAGGGCTGGTTATCATTTAAGAAAGTAAAAGCAAACTACATGTATCTAATTGACAGGGTTTTTTTTGTCACAGCTGTGATTTTAAGTCTGGATTTATGTGGACAAGGTGAAGAACTTTCCATTATTTATTCCCATATGCATGTCTATGGCAGTAGTGTTGTCAAGTCTTTGTGGTTCCTTCCTAAGTCAATCAAAAGCCGTCCTGTGTCAAGTCAAGTCACAATTTTTTGAAGTGACCTGCAGTGAAGACATTCCTTTTGCACCCACTGGTGGCAAGCATTTCAACTTAAGATTTGATTAGTGATGGACTTAAATACAATTATGGTCTTCAAGTGCTTGTTGCCATGGGTTATGAATGTTTCTACACACTTTCTGAAGAACACCATTTTCTTCAGGATTTCTGACAACTTATGAAGTTCTCGTAAGTTTTAAAAAGCAAGTAAAGAACAAAATTTCCATGGGGGGACCAAAAGGTCTTCAGCTCAAAGGGCATCAGTCATAACAATTTTTCTTCGTTTCTTTTTGGATTTGTCTTGATTTATTCTTATTTACTTCAAAAATATTGTTTTATCCAAAGAGAAATATTTTGTTACTATTAGGAGTCTCATGGGAAAGAATAATACAGATCAGTTCCAACTCCGGGTTTCATTGCAGGCTGTAGTGTCATACTTGATTGATATGTCTGCTGGTAAAATCCGAAGTGTTGGTCAGACCTTTCAGGTGTGACAGCAGTGTTCGTTTTGAGATCTTCCGAGTTTATTCACCAGTTTTAACAAACCCTTAAATGAATTTCACACAGGTAGAATACGGTAAGCTATGGTTGATGCCACATTCCTCTCCCTTTTCCTTTTCTTTCAGGTGAATAAAATATTCAAAGATCCCAGTATAGGAAATGATATCAACATAGTGTTAGTCAAGCTTCTTGTTCTCCGTCAAGAGCAGGTGAGTTAAATTTGTCAGCTGCCTTCCCTGTCACAGTTGTCAACTCAATCCACTCATATCGCTCTAAATTTCCAAAATCCGAAGCAGAAATTATGCGCATTGTCACACATTAAATAGTGACGAGCTATTCTAACCCCTACCCCAGATTGAAGCCTCTTCCCCTCCTTGTATTATTACCATTAACTATTTCATCATGGATGATCAAAGCTGGGTGAAGCAATATTGACGTTGGGGGCCCATGAAAAAAGTATCAAACCCGGTCCCCCCCCCAAAAAAAAATAATAAGAGTATTCAGGAAATACTAGGATGTGCGCCCTTCCCCCTAATGTACAAGACACCTCCCCCTCTCATCCCCCCCCCACGGTGAGAACCCTGGCCACACCTCTTAGTTTTACGAGATAAAACTTGATTGTTTTGCTGCAGGAGAATTTGTCTATCACCTCAGATGCCCAGCTGACGTTGCGTAATTTCTGCGTCTGGCAGCAAGACCAGAACCAGAGGGAAGACACTCACCCCCATCACTATGACACTGCTGTACTCATCACAAAGTAAGAAGGCGCTTCGTTCTGCTCTTAATCACCACTATGCATCGACCCTTTCCTCTAAGGAAAAAAACAGAACATCTTCTGTGGTCCTTAACCCCTATTAAGAGGTACATACTGCTCAACGGTGCCCTTCTGTTGGAGAAGCAACTAGAAGAGGCACTACATATTGTACAAAGCATTTTACAGAAGGACTCTAACCTCTGTAATTAGAATGAATGTTTCCATGTGAGATTGTTTTTACGGGGAATGAACTTTGTGACCTCATAACTCCCCAAAGAAGGGTCTGAGATCAGCGGTTTTAAGGGTACGTGTTCTCAAGATCTTGCCAAAATAAGTTGTCACACAAAAATCGGTCATTACTCTGCACATGGTGCGTGTTTACTCGTTCTCAACTGTACACTACTAACCAGCCTGTAGCCTGAAAGCACCGGATAGGAGTAGAAGTTCAATTGATTGCCAAGTAGACAAACATCATCCATAAACACAGTTTCTCTTACGGCCTTGTCCTCCCCTTCTGATTTCACCCTGAGATACTCCAACAAACCAACTAAGGACACAAAGGTAACAGAGTGTTGAAATAGGTGAATGCTTGACACTGAGGTTTTGATCAGGCGATAGAAGCATCATGGGATTTGCATGTAGCATTCCCAGGCCACATTAGGAAATTCCTGGTGAATTCCATAATGTGACTTATTGGATAATCCTGAACTGGAGGCAGTATGTATGGAGCTCCCCGGGGAGAAAATTAGGAGCCTAATTTATCGTTAAGTGAGCGAGGGTAACATTGTCACGCCCAGGGGTGAGTCATTGAAATTGCTCTCCTGAATAAATCTCAGGTAATTGGCAGCCCGGAATCATGCCGACACTGTTGAAAGTTGACAATCATTAAGACATTGATTGCGTGGGAGATTGAATTCCTACATGTCATGTGTAGCACTTTGAGCACATTGTACTGAGGTACAGGACCACTGTTAGATTGTCACAGTAACTTGGCTGTGATGGACAGCTAATCCATGATTCTAAAGTTGATCTTGCATTAGCTATCTCTCCAGGGATTTTTTTCTGTAGGGAGGGACTGTGAATTCTGCACTAGAGGTGACCCGTCCAGCAGTTTTTAGTGGCTGTATTTATTGGTTTCTTATATGCAAGTCTCATGGGCCATTACTCAGTTGGCTATAGTGTTAATTATTCTTTGTTAACTGTCTTGCATGTATCCCGTTCGTAAGTGTGTCGTCACTTCAGTTTAAACCATGCCCACTGCACATGTACTGCACGTAGAGTTACATGCATTGATCGCCATTTACATGGAACCACAGAACCGGAAGTTAATGCACAACTTCAGCGATCATCGAATGGGAGCCTGCAAATCGTGGCAAGTCCGCCTTTTTGACGGAGTCACTTACGAATACACTCAAATACAAGAGAAAGTTGAAAGCTTCTTCTGTATGACCGTGACTCATGAGTACCTCCAAGAAAAGGTCCGTTTTGTCCCACATGTAATGCCATGTTTTCTTTTTAATGACACAACAGGTACAAGAACCATTCTGTGAAATTTCCCCTCATAGAGGTGGACAAAGAGCACCAAACTGGATGCTTTTTTTGGTTAAAAGTCACAATGCATGGGACACAGCATTTTATCAGTTCTTGGACTACAAACTTTTGTGGCCTCTAATCTCCTTTGTCAGTAATTCAGAAGGAATCTGCTTTATGCCTAATAAATGTACCCGATTCCAGAAGCTTTCAGAGTCTGCTCATCTGCTGTCTCATTTTCATGGTTTGAATATTTGGAACATTTGACTGTAGTGTTTTGGCTTTCTGCATGATGTGTCTGGGGTTCAAATCCCACTTGTGCTGACATATGTCTTTTTCAATTTCCCATAGAATGGTTAGTCCAATTTTCCTTCTCACTTGATCTGATCATTTCTTCACCATCTTGTCTCCTCAGGGTTTCATACCTGTCAGCTAAAGTGTAGCAAATGCTGTGTAATAAATTAGTTGTTGCATTTGCCAGAAATAAATACTCCAACTGTTCGTAAATCAAGGTGGATTGAAACTTCTGAAGGTGTTCTGTGCATCAGAAAGTATTTTTTAAGTGTAAACCTACATTGTCATTTATCTGAACAACTCTTAGCTTCTTGACCCATACAGAAATGCTTGCTCATTCCTGCTCAGTGTCTGGAATGAAATTGGCCCCAGGTCAGTCATTTGGACAGGTTGAATGATGGATTGAGTAGTCATAAATACAGATGTATTCAGCATTCCAGCCAAGTTAGTATGTGGGCACATTCCAGCATTAATATACACTACTGTCATAAGTCATTTGCTGGTTAACCACTGGCACTCGCAGAACAAAGGTGGCATCATTTAACCTCCTCATGTGCACATTCCAAGTTAGTTGCAAAAGAAACCTAGACGGTCTACCTGTCAGTTGTTGGTTTTTGTTTATTTTTGGAAGAAACATGTTTGTTGGCCATGCCTAATAATGTTCTTACATAAGATGCAAACAAGAGTATGCTCACAAATCGTTGCATTATCTTCAGTGAGCATTTGAGAGAAAAATCCATCAAGAAATTTGTGCATGCCTGTAAATGGGCTTCACGGAAACGTGCAGTCTGTCTTGTCAGCTTCATGCCTCCACTGAAATATTCCCAGGGTCCTTCTTAATTCCTGTAGTTCACTTAGATTTCAGTATCCAGAGAGTTAACTCACACCAAGATACGGGGTAGCAATTCACGGATGTGGATTGTTAAAGCCACACGCAAGAAAATATTTCCAGGAGAGCTTTGGTCATAAGCTATTCCTTGGTCTGGGGACTGGGACCAGGATTCTTGTTCAGGCTGCTGCCCAAAGTATTGGCTGTGACAGGTAATGCTAATTAGTAACACATGCTCCTACCAGGGTTGACAGGTAGTCAATATGTCTACATGCACTTCCGTGTGTCATGTGTGTTACCACATGCTACAGTCAGAACTTCTTGATACATCTCAACATTGATCATGTGCTCATGATGATATCACTCCAAGATGCTGCATTGGCAAAAGAAGGGGAAGATAGTGAAATTACATGGAACGACTCAGTTTCCTGAGGAAAAGAAACCCAGGAGACCAGGAAGTAGACAGAAAGAAAAATATAGGTTGGAAACATTGCCGGACCTTGAAGTGTAAAACATGGACCCATGTGTACAGCAGATTGAACATGGAATGACAAGAAATCATGGGTTCTGTTTGAGAAACACCAAGGTGTTGGAATTGTAACAGCTGGGCACATTTCCTGTCCAGTGCCCATGCAGGAGAAAAATCATGATAGCAGCTGTTACTGTGGTTGCGGATGAAGTGTAGGAATCCTGGAGATGAGAACGCTGTATTCTGTAGTCTTTGACTGTCCATGAAATGTCATTAATTGGGTAGTCTGTGGGATGCAAGCTCCTGAAAGTGTGCCGTCATCTTGTATGCTCACTTTGTCATCCCTGTCATGCCTCGTATGTTTAGAGGAATAACCATAGTGACAGAATACTTTTGATTTTCTCTGAGCATGTGTTAAAAGTGATGAAATGTTGAAGGCATCCTTGGCAGACAGTGTGAAATTTGCAGCATGTGTTCCTTTGCAGTCCAATGCCTCCATTTTGGTTTTACTTTTCAGCAGCCTGAACCTGAAAATACTCATGAAAATACCTTGTCGAAATAGAGGGAGGAGAGAGTACGCATAATAAAGAAGAATATACATACACTTGAGAGGTCAGCAGAAAAATATTCTTCACTTTACACTTGACTTTGTACACTGCATCCGATCCAGTTTTGTTTTGAACAAAAATTGTTCCAATCAAATTGTTTCTGAGGTCAAGTTGAAGTTGTGGACACCTGGAAATACTTGTGGTTGAAATTCAAATCAAATTCCTGCAATTACTTTCCACTGTTTCAATCATACAATGAACTTCAATTTCAAAGCAATATCCGGGATCTCGCTTCATTTGAGCAATGTGGGGATTATTTGCCCTCCTGGGCAGAAAATGTTTAGAACTGTTTTGACCCTGAGTTTGGAGCACTTATGAGGGTCAGGTTTCGGCCATTGGCTGTGTTGAGGCACATGGACTGTTCAGGCATCCATGAAAAAAACAGAGTATATCAGCCGTTGACAAGGACAGGTTGTCCATCATTGCTAAGTCAAGATTGTCAGTCATGCATTATGATAATACTTGTATTTCGACCATAGTTGAGAACAATTTCTTCAGTTTATTTTCATTATTTCCTCTAGTCTGAGCAGCTGTGTTTTACTCATATGAAGCTGGCTGCTGAAGAGATATGTTATGCCTAAGTGAGCCTTTTTTTTTCATATGTGTATACTGACATTAACGTGTGATCACAGAGTAGATCGCCAGGTATGTCAGTGAGGATTGTGAGTAGAATAGCTCCAACATTATCATGTAGCTCCTATATTGCCAGCAGAGATAGTATAGAAGCCCAGGTCTTGTTTTCTTTGTAAGCATGTGCAACTCCAGATCATTTCTTACGTTTCAAGGGAGAGCAGTAAAATTGCAAGTTCTTGCAGTACCTGTTTATCCAGCAACAACTCAACAGAATTGAATCTTATCAGTCATTTATCAAATTTTCCTAGATTACTTCCTTTCCCCTTTTCTGAATGTATGATTCTTTGGTTTACTCAACCCAATATTGGATGTATTTTGCTCCCTAAATACCATGAAATGAATTGCTGAAATCCTACAGCATGAACTTTCCTCCCCCAGGAACTAGTTTCCCAGCATTGCCAGCTGTTGCCATTTCTCTCATGGGGGCGGGTCCGTTTACCATTTTGCCACAGTCACTGACCTTATAACCCTCTCTGGTCTGAGCCAGAGCAGTGAAGGGTCAGTCTGCCCATACAGCTATCATGATGGGGACCCTCAAAGAATCCATCCTTTGAATTTGAACTTTGCAACTTTCCTCCCATACTGTTTATTTTCCAGGAAAGGAAAAAGCTGACTTTCACTGTTTCTTATTAAGCATACT